AACGTCCTGTTCCTGGTGCACCTGCTGGCATACCTGGCCTCCCTCACTGGAAACACCCTCATCATCTCCATCACCTGGGCTGACCATCGCCTCCATACACCAATGTACATTTTACTCAGTAGTTTCTCTTTCTGTGAATGTGGTTTTATCACCACTGTTATTCCTAAATTGCTGGTCATCTTTCTTTTAGGAAGGCAAACAATTCCCTTTACTGCTTGTCTCATACAAGCCTTTTCTTTCTTATTTCTGGGGGCAACACTTTTCTTCCTCATGGCTGCCATGTCCTTGGATCGATACCTGGCCATTTGCAAGCCTCTACGCTACCCGACCATCATGAATCTGAGGGTTTGTTTCATTCTGGTTTCCTTCTGCTATGCTTTGTCCTTCATCACCATCACTGGTCTGGTCATCAAGGTTTCCCAGCTGACCTTCTGTGGCCTCAATGTTATACCTCATTTCTTCTGTGATCTTGGCTCCCTAATACATCTCTCCTGTTCTGAAACCAGATCTATTGAAATGCTGGCCTTTTGCCTTGCTTTATTTATCCTGTTGACATCTTTCATTATAACTATCATTGCATATAGCAACATAGTAGTCACTATCATGAGGCTCCCATCAGCCAAGGAGCGGCAGAAAGCTTTCTCCACCTGCTCCTCCCACCTCCTTGTCCTCTCTCTGATGTATGGCAGCTGTGTCTTCATATATGTGAAACCAAACCAAACAGACAGACTGGACTCTAACAGAGAGGCTGCTCTTGTGAACACGGTGGTGACTCCTCTGCTGAATCCAGTCATCTACACTCTGCGCAACAAGCAGGTTCACCAGGCTCTGAGGGATGCTGTGTCTAGACTGAAACTGCAGAAATAGGATTGTAAGTCTGTGGAGGGTAAATAGATCTCCTTGGTCATCTAATTCACTTTCCGATGATGGTGGAAATCTTCTCCATGAAGTCTCCATAGAAAGTGATCTAGATGATCCTAATATTCACCTATATGGGTATTATCTTATTTTGTAGTTCAATGCCTTTCACTATTTGATAATTCAACTTAGCTCTCTATACTATGATAAAATTATCTTTCTTGATATCAACTCATTAGTTTTGAATGAGTTTTATTCAAACAACATTTATGGAGACCCTAATATACAAAAATCAAATAATAGGAAGTGGTTAAACTAAGAGCAAAAAAGTTGCAAATCATATTCAATAACTGTTCATGATATATTCTTTTTTTTTTTT